GGGTGCAGGGTGCGGCAGGGGCTCAGGGTAGGGGTCAGGGTGCAGGAGGGGTGCGGCAGGGGGCTCAGGGCAGGGGTCAGGGTGCAGGAGGGGTGTGGGGTGTGGCAGGGGGTTCAGGGCAGGGGGTGCAGGGTGCGGCAGGGGGCTCAGGGCAGGGGGTTCGGCTGCAGGACGGGTTTGGGGGGCAGGATCTGGCCCGGCGCGTACCGGGGGCAGGGCAGGCTCCCTGCCTGCCCTGCCCCCGCAAGAGGCTGGAATGTGAGGAAGGGGGGGGCGGAGGGGCTGTGTGTTTCTGTTGCTTGAAGCACCGCCGCCAGCAGCTCCCATTGGCCGCCAGCAGCTCCCATTGGTTCCCCGTTCCTGGCCAGTGGGAGCTGCTGGGAGCGCTGCCTAAAGCAACAGCCCCTCTGCCCCCCCCCTCTTCCCCACGTTCCAGCCTCTTCCTGGAGCTGAGCAGGGCAGGGCAGGCAGGCAGGCAAAGAGCCTGCCCTGCTCCCTGTGCACGTCTGGCCACCGCTCTGATAAACACTGGGGGAGGGTGGGGGGCTGCGAGGGGCTCGCGGGCTGCAGAAAATCACCCCGCTGGCCACATGTTTGAGACCCCTGGCCCAGGTAGAACAGCTTGTAGGATCGAGACCTAAGTTAGTATCCGGTGCCTCCACGTAAAAGTCTCCAGGAAAGAAATAAACTGCTTAGTATAAGGACAGCTGCAGAACACAGAAAATTTTGTAAGTGATCAGATTGGCTTTCAACATCTAACAAGAGGCATCCCACCAGGTGGCATGTGTGTTTGAGGGAAGGGCAAGGAATTTGGATCAGAGTTTAAACAGCATGTGGAGCAAATGAAATAGAACTATCATAAATTACAATATATAGTATATTTTCCCCTCCCACAACCTATAGTAGTGGAATCCTCTGCACATGTATTGGGTGATTAAGAACTGAGTGATTTATTCTGTTCTTTTGGGTTATGGTCTGATGATAAATTATAATCTAACAAAGCACAGGTGGAGAGTTTCAGATGGGTTTCTAACCCTTGGGCATACCTCACAGGAACACTTTTTCCCTCTCTAATCCTACCTTATCCATTGTTGCCAGGGCTACTGTATTGAGGCAGGTAATGTACACAGGGCTGTTACAATGTTGCGGTCCGAATCAACAAATGGTCAGGATGCAAAGAGCCTGGTCAGGCTGATACAGCCTGAGACATATAGGTACCAGTGAAAGCCTGGGAAGAAGTGACACTTAGAACGAAACACGGTTGCAGGGACATGCTGCCCACAGTGCTCCATGTTGAGCCAAGAAGTTCCCACTGAGCCTCAAGAAGTATTGCTGCATAATGGAACCTGTATGCTGTGTGGGCTGTATGCCTCTATTAAAGATGTAAGCTGCTGCAATATGATCCATTTTAAGCCATGTAGAATGTAGCCTTCAGCTGTCACCCAGCTATCAATGTGGTCCTCAGCTGGGCAAAGTTTGGGGGGGAAGAGTCAGGTTATTAGCCAGTGAAATAAGCTACAAGGTATAAGTGTCACCAGGAACACTCTCTAGTACTTTGTACTGGCTGCTCCTTCCAGCTGATGCTCTCTAAGCACTTTACAGCCATCAGTGCATTAAGCCTCACAACCCCCTAGTTAAGTAAGAGTTCTCATTCCCCCACCCCATTTCACACATAGAGGTTATGTCCTGGGTCATGTACTGCATCACCACAAGCAGAGCCAAGCATAGAACTCCCATCAGCTGCTCTGTTCTTTATCCATACTACTCCCGAACTCCTCTCTAAAGAATGAGATGTGAATAGAAACAAGAGTCAATGGTTCTTCTCAGTGAAGGAGTCATGAGGAGAGAGTAATATGGTTGGGACTTTTCAGCTTGGAAAAGAGACGACTAAGGGGGGATCTGATAGAGGTCTCTAAAATCATGACTGGTGTGGAGAAAGTAAATAAGGAAGTGTTATTTACTCATAACACAAGAACTCGGGGTCACCAAATGAAATTAATAGGCAGCAGATTTAAAATAAGCAAGAGGAAGTATTTCTTCACACAACTCACAGTCAATCTGTGGAACTCTTTGCCAGAGGATGTTGTGAAGGCCAAAACTATAACAAGGTTCAGAAAAGAACTAGATACATTCATGGAGGTTAGGTCCATCAATGGCTATTAGTCAGGATGGACAGGGATGGTGTCCCTAGCCTCTGTTTGCCAGAAGCTGGGGATGGATCGCTTGATGATTACCTGTTTTGTTTATTACCTCTGGGTTACCTAGCATTGGCTACTATCGGAAGACAAGATACTGGGCTAGATGGACCTTTGGTTCGACCCAGTATGGCCATTCTAATGTTCTTAGGGTCATGAATCTTCTTTGGAATCTGATCGCACTTCTGCACACCCAGCATGTGACTGGGAGGACTTACTGCCCCGGATCCTCTCTTCACCTCCCCTCTCCCTGTGCAGACCAATTTCTTGGCCTTTTCACATCTCTGAAAGGCAGTGTTAACTTGAGCTGGCACTGGCTCAAGTGCCAAAGGATCCTAAGTTGTAAAGTAAATGTGATGCTTTCCCCTTATCCTCAGGGGCCTTGAAACTAAAGAGCAAGGTCATCAGCATGACACAATTTACATGCATGACACTCAGTTAGCAAATGATCAGGCAGACTGCAGAAATATAGAGAGAGAGCAAGCAGGAAAATGTCTTTCTTGACTGGGAGGTTAGAGCCAGGGAACAGAGAGGCAAAGGGAAGATATTGCCAAGTCCAAGTGTTCAAAAATTCTGAGCAAGGTCCCAAAGAAAAATGAACAAAATTAATACATTTTGGATGCTTTTTCTTTACCTTCTGGTTTTTGATTCCTTAGAGTTTGCGGTTTCCAGTTTTGATCTGCAACCACAAGGGCTAGAAAGTTACTTTTTTTTAAAATGAAAACTGAGATTTTCACATAATCTTATGACTTCAGGAGCTGAGGCTTTGTGAAAATCACCCAATAGCATGAATGTCACAGGAAAATCCCAAGAGCGGGTAATACTGCAGCATTCCTTCCTTCCCTGACCTCCTACCAGCCATTCCTCTGGTGAGCTTTGGCTGGGATAATTTAGTCAAACATTTACATTCTGTAAACAGTTTAAATTAATCCAATATTTAGCTGTGAAAATGATTTAGTGCTTAGATACAGGACTGGGACTCAGGACTCCTGGGTTTTAGTTCTGGTTCTGCCACTGTCACACAAGTCAATGGACAAGTCACTTCCTCTCTCTAGTACAGTGTTCCCCTCTGTAAAATGGGGATATCATGACACTGCATTTTTTGGGGGGAGGGAAGAAGGAGTGGCATGTGAGAGTTAATTTATTAACGTTTTCTGAAGTGCTTTGGGGTCCTCCAAAGGAAGGAGCTAGAGGTTTATTATTCGTTAATAAGAAATGCAAACAAGCCTTGTGTACAGAGGAGGAACCTTTGTTATATGTTACACAGTGTATTCCCAGTTTTACACAAAGACAGTCCCTGCTCAGAAGAGCTGGCATCTTTGTGATAACAGAAACCCCGTTTTTAGAACCTGCTCTCCTTTTATTATCCCACGAGTTGTATTTCTGCACTTGCAGCTTCCAGCAACCCAAAAGTCTCTATATAAATATTTTATCCATTGTGACAAGAGCCAGATATCACAGTGATGGGTTCAATATATCAACCTAAAGAGAATTATAGGTGTGGCTGGTACAGGATATTCACTCGCAAAAGAACTGAATCCTGCCAGTTCCTGTTGCTGAATCTTCTGAACACAGGAAGCTATTAAGAATTTGGATTCTGGCACTTTTCTCATTGGCTGTAGAGGCCGAGCCTTCCCCCACCCCAGCTGAGTGAAAAGAGAAGGCAGGGCCATGTGGCTTTCACTCTTTGGAGTGAACTGCATACGCTGACCATGGATTCCTCTGGAAAGGTGAGATCCAAAGGATTTAAAGTAGCTGGGGGAGCGCTTCCTTGGTTCAATAGATAGACTAGAGATTCATTTCCCTGCACTCTCAGCACTTGCTTGGATGAGTAGTTTCTGTTCCACATTGGGAACGTGCATGTCGGTGAATGGCTCAAAGGGCTGGCTCATGCCACTGAGGTTTCAAATGGAGCTTCTCATTGTACACAAAAGGGAATTTTACTTTAGATATCAAAAGAATGATAAAGAAGCCCACATCTGAAAGTGACAAAGAAAGATGTTTTGAAGGGCCCAAACTCACCTGACTAGTATCCCTGTTGAAATGCATCAAACTTGATCAAATTTTCAAAGGGGCAGAAGGAAAAATGCTTCCCTCTAGCTGAGAAACTGCTGGCATTACCATCATGTAATCCACTTTCCTCTCTCTCCCCTCAGCCAGTTCTTTATAGTTATTTCCGAAGTTCCTGCTCCTGGAGAGTGAGAATTGGTAAGATTTGGTGTTTAATTCTTCTTTGCTCTGGCACTGTCAACCCACCACCTTTCTTGAACACTAACTCCCTTCACTAACCAAACTAATTAGTGACCTACTGAGTGAGAGAGAGATCAGCAGACATGCAACTGAAAAAACAGTGACTTTGGGTTTCCTCCACTTCTCCAGCGGGAGGAGAGAGCAAACACCAGAATCAATTTGCATTTGGCGGAGGGGAAGGCTAATAGGGGATCAAGAGAATAACCATTTCATGTACCCTGTTGAAACTCCAGTGGCCATGGGCAGACAAAATACTTACTGTGGTTGAAAGAATATTTGTGTGTGTTTGTTACAAACTTTTAACCATCTACCCACCTTTGGTAGTATAAGGTGGGATCTCTGTTGTCCTTTCTTCTCAGCCCTGGCCTCTCAATAGTGGGCTCTGGATGGCTCCCCCCTGCCCTCAGTAGTTCCTTTTTCCCCCCCAGACACTCTCTAGAGCTAGTTAGAGGGACATACTTCCTTCATAATGCTAATGTAATCCAGATGCCCACATCTCCCACATTCCTTAAAGAGGCCCCGTGTTCTGTGCTTGCAGTGATACCACCTCAAAGTGTGTGATCTTATCTGATCCTGCAAGTTAAGCAGGGTGGGGCTTGCTCAGTATTTGGATGGGGACAAGTTAAAACAAGGTTTTGCCAGAAGTGACATGGGTGACACAGGGCAATCTCCCTTGTGAGCTACCACTGACCGTACAGCCCAAGGTGCTGTAATGCAGGGCATAATGGGGGTTATTCAATAGGGTGTTAGTACTGATCTCAGTGCCCCAGCAAAGTACTAGGGGGCACTGCATGACAGAGGCACTGTCTTCCACAGGAGATCTAAAACAACCACTCTGAAGGGAAAGGGGTTTCTTGTTTTGTTTTTTAACTGTCTTCAATAGAGATTTTAAAACTTTATGAGCCCATTTTCCTTGGAACCTAGCTTTCTGGCTCACTCTGCCTCTCTGAATCTATATGCTGTGTTCCCTCTAGCACTGGCTTTGAAGGGAATTGCCTATGATCAAGAACCAGTGAACCTCCTGAAGGATGGGGGACAGCAGGTAAGAGGGCAATTACAGTCAGCCTCCCCCTAAGCTGGCACACAGGCTAAGCCTAGGCATCACTAGAAATTTGGCAGCCCAAGATTATCAGAGGGCAAAGGAAATGGGATCTATGTTGCCTGCTCACTCCAGACTTTTGTCTGTAGCTAACTGTTGCCTCTGACCTCTTCAGCATCCCTAACTCCCTCCCTTCCTAGCGTTGACTGAAGCATAGGCTGAGATCAAGAAAATCTCCTGAAACTCACATATATCAGGCCATGGACTTGTCTCTCCATGGGAAGGGGCATTAGCACTATTGCTTGGGGGATTTAACTGGACAGCATGGTAGGGAAACTCACCATCCTGCCTTAGCCTCCAGGAGGGAGGGTGAGAGAGACAGATTGCATGAGACAATAGTTTCCTCCCCTCTCTGATGTCTGTGCCTGACATTATCCAGGAGGCTGCAGGCAGGCCCTCTGCCTTCAGTCAGCATGGGGGAACCAAGCTCATCAGGTGATGGCAATAAAGGCAGGGTGCTGCGATTTCCAAGTACAATCCTGGGTTGTGGATGGGTGGCACCAGAAAATGGAGGCATTTGTCACGGAGATGCCTGAACAACACTGTAGAGACTGACTGCCTGGAGCACAGGTAGCCCTGTAGCACCACTGAGGCAGGAATCTGCATATGACAACATGGCCAAGCCGAGAATGATACTGCAATTGCACTGCTGGGGGGATCGGGGATGGATCTTGCCTTGTCACTTGGGTCAATGGATAATGTGGGGATAATGCACCTGGAGTGAACCCTAGGCTCCAACAGGAGTGCCTCCTGGTGCCCAAAGGAGGGTCATAACATACCAGGACCATTAGGACTGAAGCAGAGGAAAGAGCCAAGGAGAAAACATAGTGGAGAAGCCTCAGGGTTTCAGCAGTATCAGAGACAGCAAGACTGCAAATCCATTTGCGAGCAGGGGAATTGGGAGACAAGGTAGCGCTGGCCCATACTCCTACCAAACAATCAGACATGGAGAGAGAATATACAGAGCTGTAGGACCCTTGAGGCTTTCCCTTTCAGAGAGAAATACTTGGCTCTTCTTGGCTACAGTATAGTAATCCCAGTGTCTTCTCTCCAGTTTTCTACTGAATTCCAGGTAGTAAATCCAATGCAGCAGGTCCCGGCTCTGAAAATCGATGGCATCATCTTGTCTCAGTCGGTGAGTAGCCCAGCCAGCTCTGCCCATTAATTATTTACTGTGTCCTGCTGCCCAGAGGGAGGACTTTGCCCCCACAGAGTGCCTGGTCTCTGGGTTAGAGAGCACAGAGTATCATTCTGTGATGAGGAAAATGATCCCGGCTGGGAAGTGTATAGCAAGCAGCACCTGCAGGGAGACTGCCATGGGTGAGAGATTACTCTGTATCAGGCACAAAGGCACCTGATATTAGTGATCATAGTTCAGCTGCTGTCTCAGAATCCCATCTTTTACTGGGTAATTTGTCTTTCGGTAGCTTCTGCCAGGGAGAGAGATGTGAGATGAGCCAGGAATGCTCCACCCAGTTTCCTCAGGGAAGTTTTTCCATATCACAAAAGCACACTGTTTGGTATGGTGGTAACCTCTGATCAGAAGAGGCCAGACCTCAGACAGGAAATCTGTCTTTAACTCCTGCTCCTTTGCCATGTAATCGGGCTGGCCTCTCCTCCCCAACCCTCCAGTATCTCACCCATGTCTTCTTGCTCAATGCAGCTGGCCATAATTCAGTACCTGGAAGAGACTCGGCCTAATCCCAGGCTGCTGCCTCAAGATCTGAAGAAGAGAGCCCAAGCCCGGATGATTTCGGATCACATTGTTTCTGGCATTCAGCCCCTGCAGGTATTGTCCTGTCACAAACAGGCAGATGAGACTGCCAGATTGCGTTTGTAGCTGTCTGTCTCTCTCAAAGATTGTGACAGCATCATTCTGTTGAAACTGCTGATGGGCAATAGAGTGGCAGATCTCACACAGACAGTGGCATAGGATTAAATCCAGGCTCAGCATGGTTAGCAGCATCTACCTGTTTTGCTGATTGAAAACAGCAAGGCACTTCCTGCAAAGACCACATGCTCTGACCATGAGAAATGTCCATGGTTCCCCAGGGCTTCTATTCAAGAAGAGCTGAATTTGCAAGCAGCGCAGCAGGTTCCAGTTGCAGGGGTTAGAGCCTCTTAGCAGGGGGCAGAGAGAGCTCCAGGCAAAGGAGTGATGTTTTGTGGGAAGGGCAACTCTGAGAAAGAACTGGGATGTGTGGGTCTGTGGTTCAGAGACCCAAAGGGCTGAGTTTGGGACTGGGGATTAGGGACTGACACCATCTAATCCCAGCTGACCCTGTTTTGTGTGTGACCTGTGGCAAGTTACAGCCTGTTGGATCAAGCTAATTTGGGGACTCTTTGGCCTCCTCAGAACCTGACTTTCCTGAAACAAGTGGGAGGGGAGAAGCTGGAATGGGCTCAACGCTATATTACATGTGGTTTCAAAGGTACGTCTGCACTGAATTAATCAGCGCATCTACTAATAGCACAAAGCACTGGATGAGCAGTCTGGTGTGCGATCTGGTCCAAAGTCCTGCTTTCTACTGCACAGGAACAGAACAATGAGCCATCTAGTCTGGTATCATCTGCTGCCATGCTGGAGCAGACCAAGGGCCCATCTGACCCAGAATCTCACATCCAGCAGTGGTTAAATATCTGATGCTCCAGAGGAAGCTCAATGCTGCATCTGGAAGCAGGGAGGAGGGGATTCCTTCCTGACCCCTGTAGCAGTCGGCTCACACCCTGACACGAGGACTGACAACACGTAACCTTTTATCTCAGCTGTCACAGCAGATGCCTTTTACATTCATATAAAGTGTAAAACCCTTTATTTTAAATAGTACTAAGCTTGTTGCCTCAATATCCATGGCAGAGTGTCCCACGGGTTAATTCTAGTAGGCATAAAATACCATTTCTATTTCCTCTCAATACGTTGCCTTTAATTTCACTCTGGGCCTCCTTGTTCCAGTGACCTGGGATAGGGCTATAGGAATGACTGGCCCTCCCTGTTTCACTCAGTTTATATCCCTGTATCCTGAACCTTCCTGTTCTTCTTCTTTCCAGTTCTGCTCTTTAGTCTCTTCATATAGGGAAGCCCTTCTCCCTGCCACTAACAGCGGAGGCAAGGGGCAGAGGGGAAGAATAGGAAGCCTATTTTGTCCTTTTGAAACCATCTTGGGTCCAAAATGACTGAGTCCCAAAGCACCCTCCTTCCTCAGCTCCACTGAGAGTCTCCTTCCCTGTAAGTGCTGCCCTGGGTTGCTCCCTTCTAGCCCAACTCAGGGTACCTTGGTTCACAACACTCAATCCAAAAGGCTGATGATAATTTAGCACCACTCCCCGCTGAAAGTGGGAGTTGCTGATTCCTGACCCAATGCACTCTCTCTTTCTGCAGCTCTGGAGCGGATCCTGCAGCACACCGCTGGGCGCTATTGTATTGGGGATGAGGTAAGGAGATCAGACTGCACAGCTTGCAGAAGGCATGGATAGCCTAGCATTTATCTGGGACTGGCTTGGGGCATAGAGGCTGTGGAGTCACAGCACAACCACACCCTGTGCTCAAGGTATATGCAGACAGAGCATTCCCTGGGCCTCTTCATAGGAAGCAGGGCTGCATGCATCCGATTCAGCCCATTATCTGCTCTCCTTCCCTAGTTCCTCCTCCTTTGGGGAGTAGCCATTTCATTGCATTTCACACAGGAGGAGGACAGCTCTCCATTTCCCAGCTCTGTGGGGGTGGCAAAAAGCCATGGGCTAGAAGGGACATTTGCTTGGCCCTGTCTGTATGCTACCTCTCTGCAGCACAAACCAGCCTCTTCGGTGGCCATCTTGCTAAAGTCTAAGGACTAAATCCCCTTGGAGGTGGCCACTCCTGGTCCAAGCAGGCACAGTGGCTGTGGTGATGCCCATTGACACAGGGCTCAGTCTCCAGCCCTGCCACCGCAGCACCTCATTATCACTAACATTTAAAAAAAAACCAAACAGCCTAACTAGTACAGCTCATTTTGCTACCATTTCCAGCCAGAGCAGAAAGTATGAGAGACTTCAGAAGGCTGCCCAATCCCTGAGCTTTACGTCCTAGTCTTGCAGTTGCTTCACCCCACTAACCTGTGGGACGAAGCTTGGTTTGGTAGCTAAGGCACTGGACCGGGACCCGATAATAGTCTTCAGCTACGTTAAGGGCTGTAATAAAGAAGCTGTTCTTAATGTCCACTGAAGGTAGGACAAGAAGTAATGGGCTTAAACTGCAGCGAGGGAGATTTAGGTTAGATATAAGGGGGAAAATTCCAATTATAAGGGTAGTTAAGCTCTGGAATAGGCTTCTCCCCTATATAGCACTCCCCCCTCCACCCCCAGGGAGGCTGGGGAATCCCCATCACTGGAGTTTTTAAGAACAGGCTAGATAACCTGTTAGGGACAGTTACGTTTACTTGTTCCTGCCTCAGTACAGAGGGCTGGACTTGATGACCCCTTGGCTCCCTTCTAGTCCTATATTACTATGAAGAAATCTGGATAAATTCCTGGCTCTGCCACAGTATCGTTAAATGACCCTGGGAAAATCACTACTCTCTCTATGCCTCAGTTTTCCATCTCTAAAATGGAAATAGTAGTACTTCCCCCCCACACCGTCTCTGTCCGTCCTACTTCGGTTGTAAGCTCTGTAGTGCGGGGATTGTCTGTTACACTGTGTGTGTGTACACATACAGCCAAGCACAATGGGGCCTTGGTCTTGGTTCCTCTTGGAGCTATTGCAATGCAAATAGTAAGTGAGGTTCACTTATCACGGCTCCAACTCTCCATCCCCAACCATAGGCGCCAACTTTCCCCAGCGCCAGTGGGAGATCCCGCCCCTCCGCCCCTGGCCCCACCCCGACTCTACCCCTGCCCCACCCCCATTCCAAACCCTTCCCCAAAGTCCCTGCCCCTACTCCACCCCCTCCCTGCCCCTATTGGACCCCTTCCCCAAATCCTGGCCCCGGACCCACCTCTTCCCTGGGTGTGCACTGCATGCCCACTTTTTCCCCCGGCTCCCAGCGCTTGCGCAAGGAGCTGTTTTGCGGCACAAGCACTGGGAGCCAGGGGGGAAAAAGTGGGCACGCGGTGCACCCAGGGGAGGAGGTGGAGGCGAGCTGGGATAGGGGGGTGGGGAGCTGCCGGTGGGTGCTAAGCACCCACCAATTTTTCTCTGTGGGTGCTCCAGCCCCGGAGCACCCACGGACTCGGTGCCTATGTCCCCAACTGGTTGTCTCTTCCCTCTTTGGAGGGGCACCTGGATTTGTTTGCTCAGTGGCAGAGTTGCCCTAGCAATCTCATGGTGCAGGGCTGTCCTAATGAATTGGTCCTCATGGTGCGTAACCATGCATCTCTCCTGGGGCCAATGGTAAGCAGCTGCAAGTGACTCCAAGGGTTCCGTTCTGCATTGTCTCCATGCCCAGCAACCAAGCCTGCTTGCAGAGAGGGAGACCTTCTGTGCAGCCCCAGAGCTCCCAATTCAACCCTTTCATGCTGCATGGAAGTTGGTAAAAGAATAACTGCCCTCCCTCCAATGTGGAAGAAACAAACAAGCTTAGTTTCAACATGGCAATACCCATCCTGCTAGAAACTGGATTGAGAGCCCACAAGCCCCCAAAAGGCATCAGAGAGTAACAGTTTATGGTCACTACTGTTCCAGGCAGCACTGGGGCAGCTGCCCTAGAGGTGAAAAGCTTTGTATCCCATCCCCCTGAGCCAGTCAGGCCCCTCCTCTTTCATTTTGTGTAACACCTGGTGCCAGTGGAAAGTAAACACTGAACATAAACATGTACAACCATTTTCATCTGTCAGCAGTTCATCTCTTCTGCACAGGCATGGATTGGGTTGGTGTAGCTATAGCTTGAAATTGAAACAACCACCCACTGCTGTTCCAGGCCCTGAAAGGAGCTAGACTGGGAGGCAGCCTCCTGCTCTTCATAGGGCCCACTATAGCATCCGAACTGTACAGAACAGAGCGAGTGCTGAGAAGGGCCTTTTGGGGAAAAATGGGCCTGGCACTCTGTAGCTCCAGCCAGTGCACTAAAGGGCAGTAGGGTGGGGTTCTGAATTGCTTTGACCAGTTTTCTTTGCTTCACTGCAGGTTTCCATGGCTGACTTGTGTTTGGTCCCTCAGGTTTACAATGCTGAGAGGTAAATGAGGGCTGGTCAGCTCCATTAGACCCCACTTCTTGCACCAGAGGCCTAGTTGATGGCCAAGCCTGACCTCTCTCCTGCTGATGCTCAAGCGAATTGGGATAGCACTCCCTCTCCCCACCCCCCACATCTCTATTGGGGTATTCTTCTCACCAGGATTTTTTCATTTCCAAAACCCTGTATCTTTTGAGGGCTCACAAAAGTGAGGAGCTGGGTTTTCTTCCCTGTGGCCCCCAGAGCAAGACTGGCAGCTGCCCCCACATGAGCTTAGACAGGCCTGATTCTGTGTCCCCACCTATGCAGAAAGCATGGGAAAATTTAGCCTCTTAGGGCTAGTAGAAGCCCTTATTGAAAGGGCCTCTTGCAGCCAGAACTGCAGCATTGCACACGCTATGAGAGAGTAGCTATTTGGATACCATAATGACTGGCAACCTTTTTAAAAAAAAGAAAAAAGAGAGTGACTGTAAGACCAGTGGGGGTATCCACTCTAGGAAAAAAGGTGTGTTTCTTGCCCCATGCTAACCAACACAACGTAACACCCAGGAGGTAAAATCCTAGTGGAGACAAGGCTGCTTTCACACATTAACAGGCCAAGGTAGATCCTAGGGTAGGGCTACCATATGTCCGGATTTCCCCTGACATGTCCGGCTTTTCGATCTATAAATAGCTGACCCGGGGGGGGATTTCTAAAAATCTAAAAATGTCCGGGATTTCCCCCCGGTCGGCTATTTATAGATCGAAAAGTGGCGCTGCTCGGCAGCCAAAGCCCCTTCTCGGCTCCCCCCATCCCCTGCAGCCTTAGCACGCCCCCGGCCCCGCAGCTGTCTTCCCCCTCCTCCCGTCCCCTGAACGCTCCGCCCCCCTGCTCCTCCCCCTCCCCTGCTTCCCGCGAATCAGATCTTCGCGGGAAGTCTGAAAAGAAGCAGGGGCAGGCGGGCAGAGGCAGGTAAGCTGGGGCGGGCGGGACGCGAAGAGGAGGGCTCCGGGGAGGCGCAGTGCGGCCCAGTCTGGCCCCGGCCAGCCCCAGAGGCTCCAGCCCAGCCCGGGCCCTGGGGCACTGGCCCCAGTTCCGGCCGAGCAAGCCGGCCTGGCCCCGGCCCCAGCGGCTCCGGTTCCGGCTGAGCGCGCCGGCCCCAACCCCAGCGGCTCTGGCCCGGCCCTGGCCGGCCCCAGTGGCTCCAGCCTGGCCCCCGAGGCACCGGCCCCAGTTCTGGCCAAGCAGCGCCGGCCGAGCACCCCCGGCCCCAGCAGCTCCAGTTCCAGCTGACCGCGCCAGCCCTGACCCCAGCGGCACCGGCCCGGCTCGGGCCCCAGGGCAGCCGGCCCAGCCCCGGCCGAGCACCTGCAGCCCAGCCCCAAACCCCGCGACTCTGGCCGGAGCGCAGCCCGATTCCTGGGCTCTTGTTAAAGCTGGCCCTGATCAGGGGACAGGGAGTGGGGGGTTGGATGGGTCAGCAGTTCGGGGGGTATGTCAGGGGGGTAGGGGTGTGGAGAGGGGTTGGGACAGTCAGGGACA